TATTGAGAAGGATCTTTGCCATTTTGGAGACACTGACTGTTTAAATGAGAAAGGGATTTAGATTGAAGCCTGAGTGAACAGTTTTGGAAGAGATATGAGCTTTTGCAGGTGAGCTATAGTGTTGTGCTAAACTGTAAGAGTGTTTTGCCAAATGATCTTAGAGTTTTGAGAATGTAATTTCTGTTTCAAGAAATGAGCCAAACCAATGGAGAAAAACTGTAAACAACATATCTGTGGCGATGTACCGAGGCAAATGTTCTCTTAGTCTAACAATATATAGACCTAACTGTAGCTCTGTCTACAGCTGCTTATGTTAAGATGGGTTACTTGCTCCCTTTTGCATTTAGAAGCCTAATTTTAGCCACTGTTGATATTTAAAATTCAGACACGGCTGGAGATGATTCAATAAAGTTCTGTTTAATGCACATAATGAAAAACTCTCATCCGCTCACAAAAGGTCTCATAGCTCAGGACGGATATAAAGCTCTGGGAAGTGTCCAGATTGACTCCAGGCTGATTCGATTTAGCCTTCAGTCGCCGGTGTTATAACCACTTTCTGTCCTGATAGCAAAGAGCAAACACTCAGCTCACAGTCAGTGCAGCAAGTTCAATACGGCTCTCATTTTGGAGATTCAAGTCTTTTGTCAATACTTTGCATCTCCTCCTTTATTTCAAATGACAGCCTCAGCCTCACACACACAGGATAGCAGTGTTTTCTGGAGACGTGCCTCGCCTCTCTTTACAGACACTTTTTTTTTCAGCTGTTCTTTAATGCAGGGGTTGCGTTGCTCGAACTTTCTCTTTAAATATAAACCCGAAGGCGTTGTGTTGGATCCAAGTCAGGCGACAAACTTGCTCAGGTCATAGTTCTCACTTTTTTCTTCTTTAGAAACTGGTGTGTGATTTTGGCAGCGTGCTTTGGATCGTTTTCACGCAGCAATATCCCTCTTCTGCCAGGCTTCTGGAAACTGCGAGCCATCTTGTTTGCCAGTATTTTGGTTTATCCACAGGCATTCATAGTGCCGTCTATAAATGTCAACCGTCTGCACTCCTACGAGGCCGTATCATCATCACACCCCCACCTCTGTGCAGTCACCGCGGTGGTCCCAGCCAGGCTGTTCCATCTACCCGAATGTAAACATCTGATCCATTTGTCATATTCTTTAGCAAAGTTTTAGCCTGCAGTTTGGTGCCAAAGAGCAATCAGGTCATTTATTTTCCCTTTTTTCAAAGCCTGACATTATGCGATGTCCTTCGCAAATGTCTGAGCTGTCACACAAATTCAGATTTCCATTGATAACCCCGGTGCCAAGTCTGAAGCACTCGCCCATCTGTTTTCAGAGCTAGACTGTTCAAGTAGTGCAGCACTGTCTGTGGCATTTCAAGAGGACAGCCGCAGTGGCTCTGATTAGCGGTGCTGTGGCTCGTTCTATAGCTCCTGATTTCTACTGAAAATGTTTCTGCTGATTTCCAGCAGGGCACTGACCTCTCTTAATGCTTTTCCATCCTTCTTAAGTCTCACAATTAGATTTTTTAAAATTCCTCTGGCAGTTCTTTTCAAAGTAGAGGAATAATGCAGACATGCACCGCTTACAGAAAGATCTAGTAGAAGTACTCATGGGCAGGTATTGTGAGGTATTATCTTAATTAACGGCAATTTGAATGGCCAAAAGAAAAAACCCTGCATACTTCAAATCACTAATAAAATCTGATAACAACTTTTGCCCAAACGGGAGGATTTAAAGGTTTTAAAGGACTTTGTTTTCCCCTGAAGATGATGTTTTCCACCATGTTTGCTGCGAGCGAATCCTGCCGTGACTCAGGATCCTCTGTCTCTCTCTCACAGAAATTAGCAAAAGTTCTGGTCACAGGACGGTTTTGCTGTCCACTTTGGTATTTGTATGGTCTGTTTTTTTCATTGCATTACATTAACACTGCACACTAACTCCAGGTATATGCTGTGCACCAAAGGTGTGGATTTCAAGGTGGGTGCAGGAGTATCTAAACTCATGCAATCATTCTCCGCGCCCTCAATAAAATGATGAAAGAGGCAGAGGACTTATTTAGGAAGAACTGCTTTAATGATTTTACTCTGAAAGGAATGTCTCGACAGCAGAGGGTCTTTTTAATGCATAAAATATTCATATAAATTACAAAATGTCAGCT